GCGGCCGCCGGTGGGCCTCATGGGCTTCTACATGCTGTTGGCTGCCCACGCTCAGACCTTTTTTAATACGGCGGATGTTGTGTCGGCGGTCGAGAATTTCCCGGCGAGTCGGGGGACTGTTATTGGGATCTTGAAGGTTAGTTTGATTTTGTTGACTTTTTTCTTTTTGGGGAATATAAATTCTTGAATAATAATGTTTGGATAAAGTTAAAGAGGTGATTGACTTGTTAGGTAGTATGTTTTGTCTTTTTTCATTAGGCACGCTAGGTTGAGGATAAGGTAAAGAGAAATTTTCAAACTAAACACATTCCCAATTTTATTCCCAAAATTCGACTCACTTCAATCTTTATTACGAACATCGACCCACTTTCTCGTCACGTCAGAATCGTGGCAACGTGGCATCGTGGCCAGTAAGTAGGTCGATTTAAAAAAATCATGGTCGCCCACGACGCTTCAGTAGTTTGGCAGCTAAATTAGTCGGGATTCGAAACTAGTCGGGGTTCGAAACCCCAACTAATTTAGCACATATTTAAATTTGTCGAGGTTGGAAACTCCGACCATTTCGAAACGCCTAATTCGAAATGGTCGGAATTCCCAACCCCAACCATTTAGCAGAGATCACTTAGCAGAGTGACCACCCTACACCTGAAATGGTCGGGGTTGGGAACGACCATTTTGCAGAGACCCTTCAGCCTACACTCTGCTGGAAAATCTCACCCCTGCTATACATGTCAATTCACAAGTTTAACACCCAAGTCTCTTGCTACGCATTTATCAATCCATAATTAATTTAAAACACAAGTGAACACATATCTTTATATAATCATTACATCTATAACAAATATTTAACAAAAATGTAACATTCAATTCACTTACTAAAAATCCAACCATAATCAAGTCACGATATCATTTCAAACGTAAACATCATAGCATTTTAAACATAAACATTGTATGAAGTATATCGAAATTTAACAAATATTTAGAACTCCATTTCCTCTCCCTCTCCCTCTTGTTCCTCTCCCCCTTCACCGTTTACCTTTAACATGAGCTCGGATGATCTCAACGTCTGGTTGTGTGTGAACTTGTGAGTGCATGACATCCTTGTCGACTTGAACCTGTTGTGAACATCCGGCTTGAGCTTGTTGTGAGCCTCCAGCTTCATCATGTGCATGACTTGAGCCTGTGTGACCTCGGACCTGTCAACGCTCGTACCCTATGAGTCGTTCCTCACGTCCATCGCGTTTCGCATTACGCGTCCTCCTAAGAAGACTGAATCTTTCCTATAATGCGAACAAACGCGTTCCTCACCCCTGGCTCGGTAGTCGTTCTCAATGCATCATGTACAATAGAAGCAACCTCATTGAGTTCTTATACCTATAAGATAAAAAGTGAAAGAGGATTATTAGTAAGTGGATGATAATAAAATAATAATCACAAAATAATTGTATATTTTTCCTATACAGTTACTAACTCTCTCTCAACTGGACCTCTCGGTATGTACTCCTTGGGTGTTTTGTTTTCCCGAAATATCCATCGACGAGTAATTCCCCAATTCCACTGTAAGTACACACCTAGGTCAGGTGCGTCAACCCTCTCCATCACTACAACCTCCTCCCTCAACTCCCAATTCTAAATGTAAGCATGTCGAATTAGCTTCCAATTTGCATGATGTGCTTCTTTTCTGGGATTTCGCTCTATTCTTTCTACAGGATCTAGAACATGTTGCTTTAATCCAAATTGTCGGAACACACGGTCAGGCATGTGCATTTCGACAATCTCAAAACATATAATCGGGACTAGAGCACACCATATATCTTCACCTTCCTTGCAAATATCTGGTAGTGACTCTAAAGCCAGTTCATAGGGCATCCACTTAACCTATAAAGAAGATTAAATAAATTTACATATTAGTAACAAATGATGTATTGATTGAATATATTTAGATATTATGATTTTATACATGTTCATCCTCCATTTGATTAAGCTTGTTCCTGTAGAAATTTTCATGACTCTTTGGGGAGGTTTGTCAAGATCTGAAAATATTTCATCTATTTTATATATAATGGGTTAGTATAGATTGAAATAATGTATAAAATTATATATAATTATATCTATTACAAACTTGTATACCTACATCCTAATAAAATCTGGCCATCGAGAGCGCGGGTCTCTCAAATCTGGTGTTCTCGAATGCAATTGCTCCCATAAAACAGATTACATTATAACTTGTGCGATTGCTTTTAACTTGCTTGAATTTGACATTCTTTTTGATTGAGTAAACACGAATAGCATCAACTAATTGGTCCTTAGTCCCGAATAAACCACCAACTCTGCAAGGGACGTCATCATCTCCTCTATGAGTTAAACTTTGGCCAATGCACATATCTTGTACTGTAGAAGAACGAATCCACTCATCATCTTCAAACTCGTCTGGGGGTGGTTCTTCATACTCAACATATTCATTATTAGCATAAGTCTCATCAGGCCAATGCGGATTCTCTTCAACATCTTCACTCCTAAATTGCATGCTATCAATTGGTGCACTATCTTGGTTTTTATTTTCAGAGTCGTTGCTTTTTTCATCCTCTTTAATTGTTGCCACTTTTAACGGCCTCATATTTTTATAAGGGACTTCATTGTTCATGATTTTTGTCGTTCCACCGAATGAAGGTGTACTTGGATATTGAAATTGAGTTCGCTCTATTTCACTCGAAGAAGAGAGAAAACCATCAAACTCAACTCCTAAATCTAACATGCGTGATAATTCTCCTGGAGGTTTGAATATTTGGCACGAACTATATTACAACTTTTCAATAAATAATTCTACAGTTGGCTGGGACTTGCTCAAATTAAACATAATACTCATATGATGATTGTTTGAGATCTTAACTGCGGACGTTCTATCAAAAGTTATGGGTCAATTGCATATTATTTTTTGTCGGTATTCTCGTGGGTCAATTTTCATAACTCGGTGTAATTCCTTAACAAGTCACAGTAACTATATGATTCCGAGATCATTAATGACGTCGTTACCCCTCCGACGTGCATTGACATATTATTCATTCCATAATTAATTTTTCTACCATAAGAGCAAGCAATAAAAATCATATTGTTTAACCTATGTAAAAGAAGATTATATCATTTAAATAAAAAAAATTAAAAATATTATCAGGGCATCAAATAAGAGGAAAACCCAAGATGAAAAAAATCTCATATAATTTTGACCAAAAATCCTAAACCCCAAATTGAAAATCCTAAAACCTAGAATTGAGTATTTTATGCCCTAAAAGTTTAATTTCAATTACAACAATCAACACACAAAGTATTCGAACCACCACAAATAGAGTGGTTAATAATAAATTTCAGACCCTAGAAATTCATTTTTGAGAGAAAACCCAAGATTTTTACATGTTAAAAGAGGAGAGAAGGAAGAGAAATTACCCTAGAGATTTTAAACAAACTTTCACGACGAATTTTAGCCGTAAAATGGGGTTGAAATTGAGATGGGTTGCAGCAGAACGAGAGAGCAACGGGAGTTGGAGAAGAGAGATGCGGCTGGGAGAGTTGGATTTGGGGGGAAGGGTTTCGGTTAGTTTATATAGAGGGCAGAACCTAGAACAAGTAGTTAGGGTTAGCATATAGTGGGGCGGGATCTTGTATCACTAGCCAATTTCCTACTTCCCCAACTTGGGCTTGGCCACTCTCTACTATATGGTCGGGGTTGGGTTGAGAACCTCGACCATTTCGAATTAGGCATTTCGAAATAGTCAGGGTTCTCAACCCCGATCATTTTTATAATGGCTAAATTAGTCGGGGCTTCGAACCCCGACTAATTTAGCTGCCAAACCACTGAAAGGTTGTGAGCGAGCTCTTAATTAGTCGGGGTTGCTAACCCTGACTAATTAGAACCGTACTTTTTTTAAATCGACCCATTTTCTTGTCACTTTTTTTAAATTGACCCACTTTCTAGTCACGATACTGACGTGACAAGAAAGTGGGTCGATTTTCATAATAAAGTTTGAATTAGGTCAATTTTTGAGAATAAAATTGGGAATTGATTTAGTTTGAAAATTTTTTCATAGGGTAAATTGCAGTTAAATAACCTAAAGTTTCTCATATTTTCACTTATGTGACCTTATTTTTTACAGTTATCATTTAAATGACCTATTGTATTTTCTATTTAAAAAAAACCAACTTCGTTAATAGTTTAGCTGTTAGGACCGAAATACCCCTCCTTACTGATCTTCTTCCTCCCCAAGTGCCTTGCTAGGGGTGGTAATTTTTGATCCAACCCGGACCCAATCTGAGCTGACCCGTTATAAATGGGTATGGATCACTTAATATGGATCGTATTATAAACGAGTTGACCCAAGGAACCCATTTATTAATTGGGTTGTAAAATGGTCAACCCGCCTACCTGTTTAACATTCAATCTTTAACATTTAAAATTTCTAAAAACACACCCATAAAATATCAATACTGACAAACACTACAAAATCCATGAATTACATACAACACTATGATAATTTTATAATTTACAAAAAACACCTTAGAGGTTTGAAAATTAAAAAACATCCTCAAAAGTTCAAAATATAGCAAAAAACCTTGAAAATATCAAAACTTACAAAACAATACAAAATCTATAAATCATAAACAACAGCATAAAAATTTTATAATTTGCAAAAACACCCCAAAATTTTCAAAAACTACAAAATACAGCCTCAAAAAGTCAAATTTACAAAAACATATCCCAGAAATATCAAAAACTACAAACATAACTTGTCTAACACCATGGAAAATTTTAAATTTGCAAAAAACAACCTGATTTTTTAAAAGTTGTCAAAACACCCTAAATAAGTCAAATTTTACAAAAACACACTTGAAAAAATAAAATCTACAAACAATACAAAATCTATAACTCATAAATAGCACTGTGAAAATTTTGAATTTTGCAGAAAACATCCCGACAGTTTTAAAGGTTGCAAAAAAACCCAAAACAAAACTAGAACTTCAACAAAACTAAAAAATGGAAACTAACAACTGTGAAAATTTTATAATTTATAAACTAAAATAACCCTTTGAAAGTTTTGAGTTTTGCAAAAAACACCCTAAATGTTTTAAAATTGCAAAGTAGAA